TTTGAACGCTAATCCAAATACGTTTATCCAAAAATTTAAGGAAGGCTCTCATTCGAACTTTCCAGTAGGCATAGTTGCTTCCGTCGAAAAACGGAGGAACAAACAATGACTGGCTCTTCTAGATGATATAAAAGGTCAAGAATCGAATTAAGGCTCTGATACCAATTGAAAGTTACGCAGTTCGACCGTAACAATACCTAGATAGGGTGAATAGGTATATTATGCGGAATTACAAATATTTTATGAATTAAACATAAATAAGTCACTTTTTAATTATTCTCTAGATGATTAAACATGTAAGTTATTTTAGTCATAATTCGAATACCGCAGTTTTATATGATCAATTAATAAAAAATAACGAAAGTAATAAATCAACACTATGATGATCACGGAGAAACCCAACTGGAAAAACTCCGGGCACTTTACAGATAATCCACTATAAACAATTCAAACAACTTACAATCTATCAGACTAGATGAACCGTACTATTTGATCACTCGACTACACTCCTTACAATTCTCCCTAGAACTCGTGCTCCCATACACCAATCCTTAGCTGTTGTTGCCAAAGCTCTCCGTGGAATCTGCTACCCTCCATCACTTCTAGCCTTGTGGAATCATCTATTTCCCGTAGATCAACGAAGAACACCGCGTTCTTCACAGACTGGAACTCCAGTCAAACTCCCTCAATCTTCAGAACTCTGACCAGATGTAGAGGAAAGACAATTTAGTATTTAGATTATAGAAACGATATTTTTCTTACCAAAATAATCAAAGTAGATGAAGGTTGAAAGATAGAATCAAATGAATCTTTCACATATGAAGCTCTCTCAATGTTCGACCTCCAAAATTTTCGTACAGAAGTGTTTTGGTATATACAGGTAGGTTAGAAAAATGAATAGGTCGGGTAAAAAGGTTTTAAATCGCAAAGTAAAATTTTCCCGGATAAACACTTTGCTCGAGAAAAGGCTCAACGAAGATCGAGCGATAGTATATCACTCGAACGAGGAAGGGACGACAGTCCAACAACAATGTTTCTACTTTTGTAGCTCGAGCCAAATCTTGGCGACAGTCTAACGAAAATCGACGTCGTTT